CGACCGGTCCTTGATCTATAACCTTAATGTCGAGAATCAACCTACCGGTCCTTGATCTATAACCCTAGAGTCGAGCATCAACCAACCGGTCCTTGATCTATAACCCTAGTGTTGAGCATCAACAGACCGGTCCTTGATCTATAACCCTAGCGTTGAGCATCAACCGACCGGTCCTTGATCTATAACCTGAGTGTCGAGCATCAACCGACCGGTCCTTGATCTACAACATAGTGTCGAGCATCAACCGACCGGTCCTTGATCTATAACCTTTGTGTCGAGCATCAACCGACCGGTCCTTGATCTATAACCTTTGTGTCGAGCATCAACCGACCGGTCCTTGATCTATTACCTTAGTGTCGAGCATCAACCGACCGGTCCTTGATCTATAACCTGAATGTCGAGCATCAACCGACCGGTCCTTGATCTATAACCCTAGTGTCGAGCATCAACCAACCGGTCCTTGATCTATAACCCTAGTGTCGAGCATCAACCGACCGGTCCTTGATCTATAACCTTAGTGTCGAGCATCAACCGACCGGTCCTTGATCTTTAACCTTAGTGTCGAGCATCAACCGACCGGTCCTTGATCTATAACCTTAGTGTCGAGCATCAACCGACCGGTCCTTGATCTATAACCTGAGTGTCGAGCATCAACCGACCGGTCCTTGATCTATAACCTTAGTGTCGAGCATGTAACCGAGCATCAACCGACCGGTCCTTGATCTATAACCTGAGTGTCGAGCATCAACCGACCGGTCCTTGTCTTAGTGTCGAGCATCAACCGACCGGTCCTTGATCTATAACCTGAGTGTCGAGCATCACCGACCGATCTATAACCGTGTCGAGCATCAACCGACTGGTCTATAACCTTAGTGTCGAGCATCAACCGACCGGTCCTTGATCTATAACCTGAATGTCGAGCATCAACCGACCGATCCTTGATCTATAACCTAGAGTCGAGCATCAACCGACCGGTCCTTGATCTATAACCCTAGTGTCGAGCATCAACCGACCGGTCCTTGATCTATAACCTGAGTGTTGAGCATCAACCGACCGGTCCTTGATCTATAACCTGAGTGTTGAGCATCAACCGACCGGTCCTTGATCTTGAACCTTTGTGTCGAGACCGGTCCTTGATATATAATCTGAGTGTCGAGCATCAACCAACCGGTCCTTGATCTATAACCTTAGTGTCGAGCATCAACCGACCGGTCCTTGATCTATAACCTGTATAATGTCGAGCATCAACCGACCGGTCCTTGATCTATAACCTGAGTGTCGAGCATCAACCGACCGGTCCTTGATCTATAACCTAGTGTCGAGCATCAACCGACCGGTCCTTGATCTATAACCTTAGTGTCGAGCATCAACCGACCGGTCCTTGATCTATAACCTTAGTGTCGAGCATCAACCGACCGGTCCTTGATCAATAACCCTAGAGTCGAGCATCAACCGACCGGTCCTTGATCTATAACCCTAGTGTCGAGCATCAACCGACCGGTCCTTGATCTATAACCTGAGTGTCGAGCATCAACCGACCGGTCCTTGATCAATAACCCTAGTGTCGAGCATCAACCGACCGGTCCTTGATCTATAACCTTAGTGTCGAGCATCAACCGACCGGTCCTTGATCTATAACCTTAGTGTCGAGCATCAACCGACCGGTCCTTGATCTATAACCTGAGTGTCGAGCATCAACCGACCGGTCCTTGATCTTGAACCTTAGTGTCGAGCATCAACCAACCGGTCCTTGATCTATAACCTGAGTGTCGAGCATCAACCAACCGGTCCTTGATCTATAACCTTAGTGTTGAGCATCAACCGACCGGTCCTTGATCTATAACCTTAGTGTCGAGCATCAACCGACCGGTCCTTGATCAATAACCCTAGAGTCGAGCATCAACCGACCGGTCCTTGATCTATAACCTGAGTGTCGAGCATCAACCGACCGGTCCTTGATCTTAGTGTCGTGCGTCAGACAGGGTAACGATATATGCCATGTTTTCGTGTCTTTTGGTATGAGGTGAACATGGTTTCGAACCGCCTTCCACTCTCCAAGCAGACGTCCTATCCACTACATCATGGTGGCGAAACTGAACCACGCGACTGATGCTAACAATAAGTGACCTTTCGTGAATGAATGTTGTAATAGGGGAAATCATGGGTCAACTTGTTTGGTATCGCCCATTTATGTTAACTGAAGACGTTAGTGTTTCTGAACGGTTTTTGGTAGTTGATAGAACTGCAACTGCTCATGTTCCAGCTTTTTTGCTTTGGTTAAAAGAATCACAGTTAAAAGTAGAAGCTGCAGTCAGGAACTGGGATTTGTGAGGAACTCACTAGGAATAGGAGATCTTTATTAAAGGTGTTCTCGTCAGACGGTAACACGCACACAAGCACGCATACATCTAACTGTGACAACTTCATCTCTGTCTCCAGATCAAGTCACCGTTAAACCTGATCAGCATCTGGGTCATAGGTTTTAGGCTACTGAATTGTTCAACACAGACAGAAGTCCAACCCTGCATCGGCCCGAAGCTGGAACACAGTTCCTGGAGTATCGGAGTGTTCTCTCCGTAACAGGCAAACAGTTTCTAGAGTATCGGAGTATTCTCTCGGTAACCAGAAAACAGTTCCTCGAGTATCGGAGTGTTCTCACCGTAACCGGCAAACAGTTCCGAGTATCGAAGAGTAACCGGTAAACAGTTCCTAGAGTATAACAAGTGTTCAGAGTGTTCTCTGCGTAACCGGTAAACAGTTCCTAAAGTATAACAAAGTGTTCTCTGCGTAACCGGTAAACAGTTCCTAGAGTATAACAAAGTGTTCTCTGCGTAACCGGTAAACAGTTCCTACAGTATAGCAAAGTGTTCTCTGCGTAACCGGTAAACAGTTCCTAGAGTATAACAAAGTGTTCTCTGCGTAACCGGTAAACAGTTCCTAGAGTATAACAAAGTGTTCTCTGCGTAACCGGTAAACAGTTCCTAGAGTATAGCAAAGTTATAACAAAGTGTTCTCTGCGTAACCGGTAAACAGTTCCTAGAGTATAACAAGTGTGTTCTCTAACCGGTAACCGGTAAACAGTTCCTAAACAGTTCCTAGAGTATAGCAAAGTGTTCTCTGCGTAACCGGTAAACAGTTCCTAGAGTATAACAAAGTGTTCTCTGCGTAACCGGTAAACAGTTCCTAGAGTATAACAAAGTGTTCTCTGCGTAACCGGTAAACAGTTCCTAGAGTATAACAAAGTGTTCTCTGCGTAACCGGTAAACAGTTCCTAGAGTATAGTATAAAGTGTTCTCTGCGTAACCGGTAAACAGTTCCTAGAGTATAACAAAGTGTTCTCTGCGTAACCGGTAAACAGTTCCTAGAGTATAACAAAGTGTTCTCTGCGTAACCGGTAAACAGTTCCTAGAGTATAACAAAGTGTTCTCTGCGTAACCGGTAAACAGTTCCTAGAGTATAGCAAAGTGTTCTCTGCGTAACCGGTAAACAGTTCCTAGAGTATAACAAAGTGTTCTCTGCGTAACCGGTAAACAGTTCCTAGAGTATAGCAAAGTGTTCTCTGCGTAACCGGTAAACAGTTCCTAGAGTATAACAAAGTGTTCTCTGCGTAACCGGTAAACAGTTCCTAGTGTATCAAAGTGCTCTCTCCGTAACCGACAAAGAATTCCCAGAGAATGGGTGTGTTCTCTCCTCAACCGGCAAACAGTTCCTAGAGTATCGGAGTACCGGAGTACCGGCAAACACGTAAACCAAAGATTCCCAGATGAACAATGTATTTTATATTCAAAAGCGTTTCAGTTCATACACACACATATCTATTGAAGGGAAATTATATTCATTGCATCTCTCATATTAAAAGAATGAAATACAAAATGCACAACGGTTCATTAAAATACAAACTGACACGCATATTATGATTCACAAGTAGCAATAGAACACCTAAAACATTAACATCCACAAGAGCATGATACATGTATATATGTATATATGACCGGTAGTAAGAATGAAAGTGCAGAATACTGTTACACATGTACACAAGCATGATATCACTTTCATCTCTATTAGGGTCTATGCAACACATCCATTAATTATGATACATTACATATTTTACATGTCCAAATACAGCTGGCAATGTTCCACGCTAACAGAGCATGTGTACAGAAGCGTTCGTGATAATTAAGTCGGGCTAACCGTTATAGTTGCTACTGTAATTGGTGAGCCTGGTTCAACGCCTCTTTGCATAGCACTTCAGCTATATCACTGTATGTATATTTGATGTGGAAGGAAAGTTCGGCTTGATGCATATTAGTATGACATGAACAAATGGGCATAAAAATCATGGAAAACCAGGTTCAAACCTTGCAGTATCAGTGTATTGTGACAATTCACTTGGGAATTTAAATAGTCAGCTAAATAGTCAAGTGCGATGCAGGGTGTAGACGTATTTCGCCGTTACATAAACATGGGTATGATGCACACAATGTCACATAATAGGAGCAAACCTAGGACTCGAGCCCACTGCCAGCGGATCCTGTCACCCAAGGGGAATAACTCTCAACAGCAAACTGCGACATCACAGGATTACACGTGACCACCCCATTTGATGCCGGTTCTGTTGTGTGCAACTTAACTATTTACACTGCTTAATTCAACAATTACAGATTGTGCTTATGAACGTTCTACAAGAAACACCACCTCTCGTATATACACGGGCCGTCAAGCGGACTAACACAGGATGCTATGGTGAAGTAGCATTCGTACAAGATGTGATCAACTACAGCGGCCACACAACAGCTGACAGGCACTTCAAATACACACAATGCCCATATTTTGTAATTGCCTAAGTTGGTTAAATGAATTTACTCGTTGGGTGTTCGCATGTTCACCGATAACGTATGCCTGAGTGAGTGAGTGAGTTTGGTTTTACGCCGCTTTTAGCAATATTCCAGCAATATCACGGCGGGGGACACCAGAAATAGGCTTCACACATTGTACCCATGAGGGGAATCGAACCCGGGTCTTCGGCATGACGAGCGAACGCTTTTACCACTAGGCTACCCCCACCGCCCCACTATGGACAAGTACTTCTATTCTATGTTTTACTGCAGGAACGTGTATAACTTGTGTTATTATAATGTGTAAAATGTTATCAATGTAAATTCTTATATAGGTGGGCTTTTTATGTGGACAACCACATGCACTGACTCCACCAAATTGAGAGTATGCAACTCAATCGATTGGAACAATTGGCAACCTTATCCCCACAATTGGTAGCATGTAAGACAACTTATGGTAACAATAATTTTAAGTGACATGCAATTCACCAACTGTAAGAAACGGTAACATGTAAGTCAACAATAAGACAACCTACTGTAACAATTGGTAGCCTTACTGTAAGACAATATATTGAAACAATTGGTAGCATGTACGTGAACCTATTGTAATAACTAGTAGCATCTAAGTCAACTGATCGCACTAACAATTGGTAGCTTGTAAGTCAATCTATTGTAACAATTGGTAGCATGTACGTCAACTGATCGCACCAACAATTGGTAGCTTGTAAGTCAACTGATCGCACTAACAATTGGTAGCTTGTAAGTCAACTGATCGCACCAACAATTGGTAGCTTGTAAGTCAACTGATCGCACCAACAATTGGTAGCTTGTAAGTCAACTGATCGCACTAACAATTGGTAGCTTGTAAGTCAACTGATCGCACCAACAATTGGTAGCTTGTAAGTCAACTGATCGAACTAGCAATTGGAAGCTTGTAAGTCAATCTATTGAACTAAGAATTCGTACCCACGGTGCATATCCCGTGAGCCAGGTGATTGTTCTAACAATCAGTACCAGAGTGAGAACGTTGTGTTTGTGATGTAAACTATTTGACAACTTCTTACACTTTCGACATATACCCCCTATTATCAAATGAAACATTTGAATGTACCCACAGGCGACTTAACTATTTGGGCTGTGTAAATAGAGTTTGAAGGTTCATCGTCTTGCCTGTCCATCATTTGTTTCACAACACACGGAAGATCTAATTACATGGTATTTGTTTAGTTCCAAAGAAATCTGGATCGGTAAAAATGCGAAACTTGGTCATATAAATACCTCTCCAGGTAATGAGTTGACACAGCTGGTAATCCGTTTTACAAGATAGTTCTAAGCATAATGTTCAATTGCACAAACGGAATATATAGAGTCAGGTTTCTTTAAGACAGTGGTGTCTGTGGAAAAATATGATAAATGCAGTTTCGCTTTGAACTATGGCCATGACGTATAGATTTCAGGTCATTCCCATGTCTATAAAATTACATACTCTTTCTGATATTGTCGTATTGTGGAAAGTAAAGAAAAACTGAGTTGCATCCTCAAATTGATACCCACGTGTGCAGTCTGGGGTTTCTGATGCATGTCGACCAAACGTATCAGCGTTTAATTTGCTGCAGCCGAGTCTGAGGCGACGGTGGACAATTTGGCAGAATCTTGAACCTTAATTTAAGTCGAGTATTTACGGGCTACCTGAATCACCGTGGATAAAAGACAAAGACAGCGTGGGTAGAATAGGGTTGAGTTGGGGTGGACCGTTTCACATGAGTATCAGTTGAGAAGTATGAGTTGAATGTTGCATTGCTATTGTTTATGTTCTTTTTGTCCATTGTTATATTAACAAAAGTACATGTTAAGGTTCATGTTTAATGGAGCACTCATACCCATATATTCTTATGAGGACAAATATTTCCAAACTACAACTGTAACGGATCTTGCATTGTAACAAAGTCCACCACGTGTCTCCGGGGTTATTGCAATACGCTGTATATATACTGGACAAAATAAATTAGGGATATTTGTATTTTAATGATAGCTGTTTTGTCAGTGCATCAATGAATATATAGATCATTATTCATAATTTCAAAATTTACACATATCCCTAAATATTTTTGTCCAGTATATGATGCGTCGTTACTGATTTAAATATCGAGTTTTAAGTTCGATATCTCCCATAAGGCTATGACACAATATCAGGACATTCCTTTGTCCTTCAGAAGACAAATAGGTAACGGAATCAACCTTGAACTTTGACATCGCAATTTGAAGATTTGGTTATTTGTACCCACCTGCATTAAATCATGATTGGATGCCTTAGTCAGTTATAAATGTAGCTCAGGTTTATGATCAAGCTATATTCCCTCGTCACCTGGGCAGTGTTTAAAAACATGAAAGTATGTGTCAGGGTCGAGTTCGTTATAGTCGATGATTTCGTGCGACTTCATTGCATCTTGTACAAATCGCTGACCTACCGGGTCAACATGAAGCAAATTAGATTATTTGTTTCAAATTAACCTTAAGTACATCCGATGCTATATATGTTTGGTCATAATTACTTCATCAACATTCAGAGTTGCTTGCCATTTTCCTGGTGAGGAAATGACATCGAAGGTCAATGGCGTAACCTTAAAAACAGGAATAATGTTCTTGAATATGGGTCACAACGATTTGCATTGAATTCCTGGATCAAGTATGTCCGTGTTCTTTATTCACCCACGTATTGTGGTAGACGTTGAGCCGTACCTCATAGAACAGTCTGATACCTACACAAACACTACACAATTACAAGACAATACTTCTTTGTACAATCCAAATCCATTTGTCTGTGGTCCCAGTACAATAGTAAGTAAAGATCTGGTTCTGTTCAAACCCTGTCAGGTCCAGATTTAGATATCCCCATTGCTCTGGCTAAGCCTTTGAATATTTCCCTAACTTCAGACTGGATCAGGTCGAAGCACATTGATATCAAAGCAAGTCCGAACAAAAGGTACAAGGTACATGAAACGCGTTTCGCTTGGTTGTGCCACGAGTCATGATGATATCCAGGTACATAGTCTCCAAACCCAATCGTACTCAGGGTTATGAAACAGAAGTACGACCCTTCCAAATAGTTCCATTCCGGCTCCCACAGAGTGAACAACATGGCTCCAAGGAATATATACCCTGCGAGGAGCAATAGGCACACAAAAATTGGTATTCTGACAAGAGTGTTGTTTTGTTCGGGTGGACTCTCCACAACACTGTCCACTGTTTCTTCATTTCCGTATGTATAGCTTGTTCTGCCTCGGTCGGACTTTCGATGAAGGATCCTCCCCTGGTAGCTTCTTTTCTCGCATCGGCACCGAGGGATCTTTTTCCAAAAGAACCGAAAACACTTTGCCATGAAGGTGCCAATGTTGGTGAGGCAGAGAAGAGTAAGGGGAATCCCCACTATGGCGTATATTATGGTTGCTAGGCGACCCCAGAAAGTACGAGGGGTCAGGTGTCCGTAGCCTGAAAAAAGAAAGAAAACATTGTTATGAACGTGTATGTATTTGGAACGAAAACGATTATGCAGCTGTATTGGGAAGGGTGTAAACCAGATCCGGGTTAGAATTGGTCTTCAGTAACCCATGCTTGTCGGCATAGGCGACTAAGGGGATCGGGTGGTCAGGCTCGCTGACTTGGTTGACACATGTCATGGTATCCAAATTGTGTAGATCGTGACAACCAAGTCAGCGAGCCTGACCACCCGATCCCGTTAGTCGCCTCTTAAGTATCGGCTACTGAAGCCCAATTCTAATCCGGTTCTACACCCGTCTCGATGCATGGTACTGCGATTTAAGTTTCAATAATCATTTAACAACGAGGCCCAATTATTTCCCCAGAACGAAGGTCCAGCTGAACTAAAGACCTTATCTGAGTCCACACCCAAAGGATGAGGCCAAAATGTAGGTTACACAATGCAAACTCGACAAATGATACAGTAACTCTTTCTGAAACCAAAAGCCTTGGAAAGACGAAACCTAATGTTGCAAACGTAGCATGAAATATTCCCCAGGATGTGTTGACCCAGTGTAGTTATTTGACATCTAATGGCATCTAATAGCCTTTATCACAACTTTCACATAATGAAAACAGAATATGATAAGAAGTCTCTGTGGGAGACCAGACCGGTAGATACAAAAGAAGCATTGTGCACCATCGGGTTCAGATGAGGCGGAATGAGCATCACAGCGTCTGATCATGATGATCGGGTCAGACTGAGAGCGCTGACAAAGCCAGCAATTGGATGATTGGGGTCAGATTTATATTGTGTCTCCACGAGATGTCACAATCTACGTATACTGGACTATACCGACATTCACGTGTGTTTCTGCTTGAGAGACGTTATTTGACGTTTGTGACTGTGAAACTGTACACAGCTGTATCGTATGTCAATAACCTCGCACAAGAAGGATTAGGGTGGACTCTGAATGGCTCCGACAGGTTTTTCAGACATGTGTAAACATCTGTACATTGATAGCGTGGACGTGCATTAATCATCCCACGAGTAATGATTTTGCATTTACGCTCAAGAACGACGAAATTGGCGTTACATTTGAACCTTACTCGCATTAGGAGGGTCAGCTGTAGCGTCTTCCGTTACAAAGTGGACTTGGGCGCTAGAAACCTTGGGTTGTGAGTTTGAATGCCAGTTCGACTTGATGATGTTTCTAGGTTTGTGAGCCGATCGTCATGTTTGTGGGTTTCGTCGATGTGGTAAACGTCTGAGACTTGAATCATATCTGGCGTTTCTCCTACACTACACGCAGTGGTAAAACTGGGATGATGTCACTCAGTCCCTCACTCACACAGTTACTCACTCACTCACTCGCTCACTCACTAACACACTCACTGACTCACTAACACACTCACTCACTCACTAAAACACTCACTCACTCAGTCCCTCACTCACACTGACTCACTTACTCACTCAATAACACACTCACTCACTCAGTCCCTCACTAACACTGACTCACTTACTCACTCAATAACACACTCACTCACTTAGTCCCTCACTAACATTGACTCACTCACTCACTCACTAACACTCTCACTCACTCAGTCCCTCACTTACACTGACTCACTCACTAACACACTGACTCATTCACTAACGCACTCACTCACTCACTAAAACACTCACTCACTCAGTCACTCACTAACACTGACAGATTTACTCACTCACTCACTAACACACTCACTCACTCAGTCCCTCACTAACACTGACTGACTCACTCACTAACACACTCACTCACTAACACACTCACTCACTCACTCTCACTCACTCACTAACACACTCACTCACTAACACACTCACTCACTAACACACTCACTCAGTCCCTCACTAACACTCACTCACTCACTAACATACTCACTCAGTCCCTCACTAACACTGACTCACTCACTAACACACTCACTCAGTCCCTCACTAACACTGACTCACTCACTAACATACTCACTCACTCACTAACACTGACTCACTCACTAACACTCACTCAGTCCCTCACTAACACTCACTCACTCACTAACACACTCACTCAGTCCCTCACTAACACTCACTCACTCACTTACACACTCAGTCCCTCACTCACTCACTAACACACTCACACACTCAGTCCCTCACTAACACTGACTCAGTCCCTCAGTCACTTACTATCACACTCACTCAGTCACTCACACTGACTCAGTCACTCAGTCCCTCACACACTAACACACTCACTCACTCAGTCCCTCACTATCACAGCCTCAGTCACTCAGTCCCTCACTCACTCACTGACTTACACACTCACTCATTCACTAACACTGATTCAGTCACTCAGTCACTCACTCACTAACACACTGACTCAGTCAATCACTAACACTGACTCAGTCACTCAGTCACTCACTAACACATTCACTCCCACTGCCCTCACTCACACTCAATCACTCAGTCACTCATTCACTAACACACTCACTCACCCACTCACTTGCAGCGGCTCCCTGCATCTCCATGTATCCACCCTCTACCGAGGGCAGATTATCGGTATTTTGATTGTCTCGGATAAAACGAGGTCTGGCCGGTTCGAAGTATACACGAGCATAAATGGGGTGTCAGTGCGGAGAAGCGGCATGTCACGTGAGTGAACTAGCACTAGGGAACCGGCCTATGTTTTGTAGAGCACAAACAGCCTCAAATATACGTTTAACCCCTTTAATTACATGAGCTCTGAGTTGAAATGTCCTCATAAAGGGAGCCTTGTGATCAAACTGTCCGTTCGTCACCTCGAGGAACCTGGTAAAATTGCTCACCTTAGTACAATACGAGGATCCCATTTCTGATTACCAGTGCAGTGATAATGCTGGAATATTGCAAAAGCGGAGTGAAAGTATATTCACATGAGGTACTTATTTTTATCTGATACCAGGTTTATCTGATTCTGTTTCTACCAGACAGACCAAAAGTCCCAAAATGTGGCTGATGGACACCTCACCTCCAGCCACTGCATTTGGTTTTGCTCAAACAACACTTCCATGTTCTGTTTTATATACGACGTATGGACATATCCCTGACACTATCGTTTAAAGTTAAAGAATAAATGTTTACCTCAGCAAAATGATTACAATATCCAGGTGGGTAACTAGATCAGTATCTTTAGAGGTTCAGTATATTTGTGCACATCCCTCAAACTTGAAATATACGGTCACAAGAAGGCACGCCTTGCTTTCACTGGGAACATAAGAACATGCCAATTATCTATATTAATACGATGCATTTCAATGTAAATCATTATTCAGGGCCATTCCCAGGAGATGAAAGGGTCCCTCCCTTGATATGTCACTCTTTGTTTACTCCAATTTACTCGCCCAAACTTCCATGTTTTCTGAAATGCCACACTGTAATCTATTCAGCCTGATTTGATTCGCGATTCACACCAAGCCGGTTTCACATTTCCCATGTTGACTGCAACGGATACTCCCACTTTTGTCACAGAGAAAATCATTTCTCTGTGATAAAGTGATGTTTGCGTATTAATACGACCCAGTGAAATTAAATTCTGATAAATATTTGAGTTGTCAGGAGGCGATTCAATCTTGCCACCACAGAGTTAATGCTTCTGTCAGCCCGAATGTGACGTATCGCTCCTCACGGAGGGGTAGCTGGTATAGAATATCGGCGGCCCGAAGCGCCTCTGGGAGATTGGTTAATTGAGTAATCTATCATTGTAATCGACGTGTCATCGTTTGTAAATACGTTTTCCTAAGCTATATTTGTTGGGACAAATGATGAAAACGATTGTAAATACAAATAAGTAAATTGAGAAGCTCAATAATTAGAGGAGCATTGTCTGATGCCTGGTACATAGAAATCCAAAAGTGGTTTTCTGTATCGAGTCGCCCGTGGTGATTTGCTCTCACCATGACGGTCTTGTAAGGTGAAACGTAGATCAAGCGTGGTATGACTGCTGTCGCGCTTTACCAAGGATGATCACGACTTATGATAAGCGTAAATTGTGTTGTCGAGAAACGGCAAACTGGAGCAGTATTAAAACATGTTATCGTATGCGTGTGTATTGGGTCGTATTGATTCGTATGCTTTGGACAAATAACAGGGGGTGAGTGGGTTTTACGCCGCTTTTAGTAATGTTCCAACAACATCATGACGGGGGACACCAGAAATAGGCTTCACACATTGTACCATGTGGAAAATCGAACCCGCGTCTTCGGCGTTACGAGTCTGGAGGGGCGGTGGGGTAGCCTAGAGGTTAAAGCGTTGGCTCGTCACGCCGAAGACCCGGGTTCGATTCCCCACATGGGCACAATGTGTTAAGCCCATTTCTGGAGTCCCCCGCCGTGATATTGCTGGAATATTGCTAAAAGCGGCGTAAAACTAAACTCAGTCAGTCAGTCAGTACGAGTCTGGATGAAGTGAGTGAGTGAGTGAGTGAATTTGATTTTACGCCGCTTTTAGCAATATTCCAGCAATATCACGGCGGGGGGACACCAGAAATGGGCTTCACACATTGTAATCATGTGGGGAATCGAACCCGTGCCTTCGGCGTGACGAGCGAACGCTTTAACCACTAGGCTTCCCCACCGCCCAGTCTGGATGAAGGATCGAGTTAGTTGTGCTGCAATGTTTAACTTTAACTTTTTACAGTTTTACTATCTTGTGTAATTAGCGTTTGGAAAAACAGCACGCCTCAGATAATGATGCTATTTCAGTTATTCATCAAGTGACTTCTACTTGACAAGTATCTCTGTTTGAAATATACTACTTAACATTAAGTGGGTATCCGGGACAGTGTCAAGTATTAACCCCTACAAAACCTCAGAACGCATGTTGGGTTATATTATCCCCAGGGAGTTGAGAATGAAAATCTCATGGATACTGTTGTGATCCATTGATGGGTAATAATGTGCACATACAATTTAGATAGTGGATTTGATGCAATATTAATACATACTCAACCTGATTTGTTGATCACCTTACA